CAGGGAGGTGGGTATTTGAGATGAATGGGGTCTTCACCATAGCACACAAGTATTTCAGGCCAGTTGCCCGGCTGGAGAGGGCAGACCAAAGGGACATGGACCATCTCCCAATGGCGAGACCAATGTCGCAGCCCGTGGGTGGCTGAACTCTCCTTCTAAGACCAGTCTGCAGTGCAGGGCTCTGTCCCACAATTAGGGTCTTCAGAGACTTGGTGGCCAGCTCTACTCCCATTGGCTAGCATCCAAATGAAATTTTCCCCTGAGCTCTTGTTCTGATCTGAAATTACTAGAGTTATTTACTAATCTGGGAAGCTGAGCACCTTTCAATGGGGAAATGACACCTGAATGGCTCTTTGTTTGGATCTTGGCTGCTGTCACTGTGGATTTGTGGATTTTTGCTGGGTGTCAACCTGCTTGCGGGTCCTCTGGCTACCAAGACAGCCAATTTCAGGACCGGGGGCCCCCACTTGAGACTCAGGTATCTGAACATGAAAGGGGGGAAGGAATTTGTCCCTTTCTCCCTTGACACTCCACGGCTGGTCTTTTCCTTGAGGAGTGACTACCCGATGTCCCCTTTCCAAAGACTCAGCGTCATGAAAGAGTGGAGTGCTCTAGTTCACCCATCAGATTTCTGAGAACCTCACAGTCCTTGAGGGAGATCCTCTGATTCTGTGGAGTCTCCTCCCAGACTTTACCAGGGGCCACAGATCAATGAGGATTGAGCTGGCACTCAAACCATGCCCGCACAGACTTTAAGAACCTTGCAAGCGCCCTCCCATCTGAGACTCTGCCTCCAGGCTCTTCCCCATAAAGCACTTGCCCCATCTTGGGTACCCCTCTCCTACCAAAGGCCAGGGTCTTCCTAGTAGCCTTTGAAACCCCGCAACTGTCAGTAACCTTCTGGATGCAGGGAGTTCCAGAACCAAGGAGCATGCCCGCATTCCTGATGGGGCAGGAGGGAACGTAACTTCTTGTTGATGAGTCTATGACCAGTAAATGTTTCTAGTAAAGGGCTCAAGAGTGTTTTAAACTTCGCTGTTCACCTGGACAATCGCTCAACTCCGCCATTATAATATGAGAGCTGCTATGAACAACACTTAAGTGAATGGGCACAACTGTGTTCCAATAAAACTTTATTTGCAAAAGTAGGCAATGGGCCAGGTTGCCCTGTGGGCTGCAGTTTACCCATTTCTGGTTTTTCTCCCCCCATACACACAACAATGAAAGACAGTGCACTAATTTGTTTCCCAATGTTCCAGCTTAGTATTATAAAAGTATAATTATATCCCATTCTGAGAAGAACAGGACAGAGGAACTCAGAAAGTGCTGATGGGGCATCTATTCTCCCCTAAATGGGGGCTATGGTGGGACGAACAACCTTGGAGGGTGGCGAGGGTCTGGGAACTTCTCAGCTGTGGTGGTGCTGAAGATGGGTTTTGAGGATCAAATAGGAGTTTCAGAGGTCAAAGCCAGAAAGGATTTCAGGGACAACCAAAGGCATGCACACAGGCACTGAGACACAGTGGGGCTGAAGTGTGTGGGGCCTTCGCGCGTCCTGGTGTGTTACTACCTCAGTCAAGGGGGCCGACTTCAGCAGCAGAGGAAGCTGGGAAGGCAGGCTAGGACCATGTCATGAGCGCTCTCCTGCTGGGCACAGAGGGTTTCTGCTGCAGGTGCCGTGGAGCCCCTGAGGAGTTTTAAGCAGGTGAGTGACATGCCCAGAACTAGGGGGACGGTGAGAGGGAGGCATCGGAGGTGGGTGGATCCCCCCAGTGACCTTTGGATGCCCACGTTCAGCCCTGTCCTGAGTACCTTCGGATGCGATCTGAGCCCTCAGCAAATTTGGTCCCAAGCCTTACTCTTTAGCATCCTCCAAGTTCAGCTATTTTGTCTGGGCGACTTTGGGTTGGGATGAGCAAATTCCGCATCCTGTGCGCCCGAGTCAGCTTCTTCATCTAGGAAATAATAGTGCCAGTGACTCCCGCCGCTGCCCTCATCGACAGAAAGCACTGCGTGGTTCAATGGTCAATTTCATGAGTCAACCCTTGCCTGGCTAGAGTACCCAGTTATTCATTTAATAATTAAATGTGAATCTCAGTGTTGTTGTAGAGGTATTTTGAAGATGTGATATTGACTTAACACCAACAATCCACTGACTTTGGCTTTAAGTAAAAGTGTTCATCTTTGATTGTGCACGTGGCCCTGAAGCAGTCAGCTGAAGGCCAGAAGGGCAGGTCTGAGGCTTCCCTGGGGAAGAAGAATGCCCAGCCGTGGACTGAAGCTTCGGTTCCTGCCCAAGAGCTCCCAGTCCACCTACAGATTCAGACGTGCCCAGCCAAACCAGGTAATTGCATATGCCAGTTCCTCAGAATCTCCCTCTACACACACACACACACACACACACACACACACACACACAGAGCCTTGGCTGATGCACATGGCAAAGGAAACACTGAGGTCTATTTGTGATGATAGATTTTATTAACAAAGTGGAAGTTTCATGATATGTTTTCCATTGTGAAGGTAGAAAAAGTATTGTCTTGAATGGAGAAGGCGAACACATTTCTGGTTCCTCAGCCCTCATCCCGGGGTCACTGAGAGAAGAGAGACTTCCATTGGCCTCAGCCCTGTGGGAACATGCTGACCACCGCCCGCCCTTGGCCCCGGGGCCTGGAGGAGGTGTTCGGTCTTGATTCCCAGGTGTGAATCAAGACACTGGAAGGCACTGAGGGCGCTTGCTTCACTCCAGCTCTGCAGGTGAGATGGCTCTGCGTCATGCGCCCCCCTGCAGGGCTTTGTGGGAAATCCAGCGGCATATTTAGGCATTATTCATCCTTGCTAATGAGTAAGTCATCTCGTGTGCACATCAGAGCTAGCCTGGAGAAGCGACTTCAGGGGCTCAGGAGAGAGTGATGAGCCGTGTCGAGTCTGAGCCTTAAAGTAACTCACCCACTTGGCTTCCAGGCTAAATGCCAGGCACCGGGGACAGCACAGGCTAACGGGCTGGGTCTCTTCTCAGGGAGCGGCTGTGCCAGCCAGTTGGGACACCATCCAATGAGCTTCTCTCAGGTCCCACAGGCAGGCTCTGCACAATCTGGCCTGCAGGTCAGAGGGGGATTTCTGGGCACCAGGGTGGCAGTGGGCATGGAAAATGATGTCTGTCAACGGCAGGGGCCAGAGAGCCCAAAGGCACCGCTAGCTGGGCTCCGAGGGCCTGGAGAGGGAAGACGAGGGTCTGGTGCCTCCCACCTTGGAAACGCACACACGGTCAAGGGAGGAGGTTTCAGAGACTGGCAGTGGTGGGGGCTGCTTATGGGAGGAAGGAACACTCTGGAGTTTCAGCACCAACTTTGAAGCAGAGCAGGAGGTCAGACCAGGTAATCAAACCCTCGCCGCGCAGCTGGATCCAATGAGGGCTGCGTGAACTTGGGAAATTCTCAGCACGCGCTACCAGAGGCTGGCCCGGCGGTCTCTCCTCTCAGCCCCAGCCTCATGTGTAAGGCCAAAGGCTGTAGAAAGATGTTAATTCACCTGCGAGGGAAAGACGGGGGTAGCACCTCCCCAGAAAAGATCAACCAGAGACGCCAAGGATAGAAAACGCCTCACACTTTGTTCCAGTTGCTAAACCTCTGACTCTAGTTGCAAGATTTAGCAAATAAAAACACAGGATGCCTGGAAAAAATGATGCTGGGACAACTGAATATTCACAAAGAATGAAGCTGGAGCTCTTCTTCATGCTATCTGCCAAAACTGATCACAGACATAACTGTAGGAGCTAAGACCATAAAAGCTCTTAGAAGAAAACACAGAGGTGAATCGTTGTGATCCTGGGTTAGGCAAAGCCTTCGTACATGTGATGCCCAAAGCTTGGGCAGCCCAAGGGAAAACAGATACAGGAGACATCATCAAAAAGGAAAGTTTTGCATTTCAAAGGACACAACCAAGGTGGAAGGTTTCAGTTTGGGAAGATGAGAAAGTTCTGGAGATGGATGGCTGGGTTGGCCACCCAACAGTGCGAATGTGCTTAGTGCCAGCAGCCTGGACACCGAAAAATGGCTAAAATAGTAAAAATTTGGGTTTTGTATATTTTACCACAATAACAAATGAACAGGCACTGTAAGGAACAAGTTTTTCACCCCCATTGGAAGGGACCGGGGGTGTCCTTGCCAAGTGCTGACCGTGCCCTGAGGCTGGCTTTTCTCGGCCTGTGGCTTCTCAGCCTGACCCTGCCCCTCCCCCCAGCCCAAGGCCAGAGCAAATCCCTCTGTCCCGAGGCTAAGACACTTAATCTTCAGTGGACCCCTGCTCTCCACAGTAAATCTCTCCCAACGCAAACACTTGTGCTGCGTGGGAACCTGACGTAAACCCTTGACGCTCCCTGCCTCTCCCTTCCAAGTCTCACACTTGTCCCTGTCAGTTACCTGACTCCAAAGGCCACACAGCCAGGAAGTGCTGGAAGCTGACATTGGACCCTGGTCAGCCTCTTCCAAAGCCGTGGTCTTAACCGCTCTTCTGTTTTCAAACCTCAGCTTGATTCCCCTTTTCTCTGAAGGCACCCCCACCCCCGGGGCTGTTCTCTGGCTGCCCCCCCATAGCACCCTGTGCTCCCACAGGACCCTCTGTTATATCATGTACTTGTTTAGCCACCCGCGCGCCCCGCCCGCCCGCCCGTGCACAGAGGGGCCCTCCAAGCAGTGTGTGCCTTGCTCATCTTGCATGTGCTTCAGTGCTGGCCTGGGACTGAGTGCTGACCACTGGAGCCAGCGCTGCCACTGGGCTCCTCCCGTTGTCCTTGACAAGCAGCCACCCGACCTGACTGCGCGGGGCCTCAGACAGGAAAGCTGCTGCTGCCTGAAATCCCAGCCCGCATATTGCCAAGTGCCTCCTGGGGCCAGAACCGCCTCCAGTGTGATGAACTGAGAAAAAGGACTTCTCAGCTAGGGAATCACAATATCAAAGGGAGATTATATCTTTCACAGCAGGGGCAGACAGACTTATGTCTCTCTGGTTCCTGTCTCTCAGGGGTTTGTAGCTCAACATTCTTTTTGGGACTGTCCTGATTCTCCAGCATCCTGGGTGAGGAACGGGTGTATGTGTGGTGGCTGGCACGGTGGTCAGCCCAGGCCCCGCTGATGGCTGAACTGAGGGACTGTGTCTGTGAGCCCGGGGAAGTAAAGGGTCGCCTTTTGTTCTCCCAGGAGTCTCTGCGGCGGTTCTAGTGATCACATTGAAGTGAAGACTTTCTGGTCAACGAAGGAGACCTTGGTCCACACAGACGTGCAGGTGTGTGTGACCCGGGGGGAAAACAGGTATGACACCTAAAATGGACAGGATTGAAATAGAGGCGGGATGAGTCAAAAACAATTCCTGGACAGTGTGAAGAAAAAGACTAGCTCTCTCGCTCCCTTGGATTCTTGCTTCTTGATTGTTTCTCTTCTCTGTCTTCCAGAAATAAGGCAGGAAAAGTTTAATGGTAGAGCATATTTCAGCCAGGGAAGACATGAGTGTTAATTTATGATGTCACTAAAAATATCTAAAGTTTTAATGTGAGTTTTGCTAATGGATATGTTGATACAGAGAAGCAGCATGATGTGGTAGAAACACTGTGTTATGGATGAATGTTTGTGTTCCCTCCTCCCAACTTCTTTCACTGAAACCCTGACCTGCTATGTGCTGTATTTAAAATGGGGCCCCTAAGAAAGTAACTAAGGTTAAGCAAGGTCTTATGGGTGGGGCCCTGCTCTAACAGGATTAGTGTCCTTATAAGAAGAGACAGCGGAGAGCTCAGCTGTCTGCATGCCAGGAAGAGAGCTGTCATAAGAAACAGACCACTCTGGCACCTTGATCATGGACTTCTTCCCAGCCTCCAAAATTGAGAGAAAATAAATGACTGTTGTTTAAGCCCCTCCTGCCCCCCCAGCATGTGGTATTGTATTATGGCAGCCCAAGCAGACTAATATAGGCCAATAGTTCTGGATCAGACAAAATTGGAATTCTGGTTCTTGCCAGTTGACCTTGGACAAGTTATTTAATTTTTCTGAGCTTGATAAATAACAAAAGGTTAATATACCTTGTTGGTAGGTTTGTTGTTAGGGCTAAAGATAACATTTAACACTAAGTAGACACTCAATAGTGTCTCATGCAGTTCTAGGATATACCCTGTGATGGTCTCCTTTTCTAAAAGCCAATCCCTGCCCTGCTTTTGAATTGTGAAACAATGAATACTTGGTCACTTGGAAGATATGTGTCATTGGAATTGACAGGGTAATTCAATATGTGTTTCTATATTTAGTCTTTTCATTGTAAGACATTGGCATAGAATCCTCTTGGGAAGAAACAGTTCATACCACTTACCACTATTAATAGGGGTGCATAGGTGGTCATTACTGCTATAAACTCCCCAGCAAAGTGCTGAGGAACTAGAAGCTTTCAAGGAGAATCCCACCTCTTTTAGAGACAGCCAAAAGCAATGCATCTTTGCTCAAAGGGAAAATGCTTATAAAGGAGATTGAGTGTTCATTTAAATATGGTGAATGCCTTCATTCCAGCTATACAACCTATAGTTAATTAGACACTAAATACTATTTCAAAGGTGAGCTGTTTTGTGGAGGTGTCAAGAATGCTGCACCAGTATCTAGTTCCTATGATTAGACAGTGAGTGATTTTTGTGTGGGTTCGGGGAGGCATGTGTAGAGAGGTCATTGCCCAAGTTGATCTTACTGATGACGAGTCTTCAATGTTATCTTAAAGTTGCTTCTGCAAATGCCTGGCCAACTGGCTCTCAACATCCCCAAAACCTGGGTTCAAGTTTCTGTTGAGCCTGAATTTTTGGATGCTTGGTGGAGTCACTGCTTTCTAGGATTCCAAGTGAAGGAGGTCAGAACAGGCTTCCCCAAGGTGTGCTACTTGGGCATGTGAATTATTTTGAGCTGAAGGCAATTGAGGCCCTGCAGACTCATTAGAGAATTTTACTTCTCCCTTAAAGAATTTAAATTTGGGGTGTTGATCATAATAATCATTATTATCAGAAATAACTTTTTATGAGCTGTCTATAGGGCTGGGCAAATATCTAATTACCCAACATCTGCTCTTCTAATCATCCAGTAATGACTCTCTGATGTCTTAAGGTGCCTTACCTCATTGTTAGGTCAGAAAGTCACATATTCCTCATTTTCACTTTCTGTCTCAGAACCTCTCATACATGTGGGGTCTTAGACTCTCTCATGTATATGGGGTTCCTGTATGCACATAGGCAAATAAATTTGATTATCTTCTCTCAATAATCTGTCTCATGTGTATTTAATTCTTACAACATCTGGAAGAACCTAGAAGAGTACAGAATAGTTCCTGCCTCCCAAACACAACCGTGGTATCATGTTTCAATGACCTAATCATCAACTCGACAAAAGATGAACATGTGGGAAAAGTCCAGACGTTCTTTTGTGATTTTGATAGTTTGGATTCCGAAGGGGCAAAGTGTGAAATCGGAGAGTTTATGTCACCCTTTTAAGTTATAGAATAAGCAATACTGACATTTGGTCCATCAAAAAGTTAGATAACTCATGATGAAACTAAAATTAAAGATGAGCTTCATTCCCTCTCTTCTTCAGGAGGACAATGCTGAGTCCCTGATTATGTCCTGCCCCCGCAGCTGTGGTGTCCTTGGTTCAGCACTTGCGATAACAGGTTCAGCTGCATTCCTGAAAGGCCGGGTCCATTGTAGAGGCCTTGCACCATTCGCCCCTGAGGGTTCCACATTGACTGAGTCATCTCCACAGGCTGACGGACTTTGGGGGCACTTCGACTAGATGTGGAAGGGTGGTCAGTAGGAAAATGTCCTGACAGAGTAAAAACATTTATCAGTGACCGGTGTGACTGCCCATCTGTTCACTGAGAATGTTTCAGTTCATCATTCTTTTAGAATCTCCTGGGCCAGTACAAACAACCTGGCCTAATACTACTCCTGGCCATAACCTCGGGGACCAGCGGAATTAATGGAAACAACTTCATGCTGATGTGCCTTTCATGGAATTGGGGCCTCAAGCACACTTCATTTAGGTCTGGGGTGGGGGGGGTGGTGAAAACCCACTCCACCGCTGGGTCAGAACTTTATTTATTTTTAGCATGATTGAATTTGGTTGACAAGTAAAATTGTAACATACTTAAAGTGCACAACGTGATCATTTGTCATAGACGTTGGGAAAGAGTCCCACCAGTGAGTTAATTATCACTTTTATTTGTTTTATGAGACCACTCAGTTCTAATGTCTTATCAAATTTAAATTATACAGTGTAGTATATTCATCTTATAACTGAAACTTTGTACCCTTTTACCAGTCTCTTCCTATGTCCCCCACCCCACCCTGGGCAACCACCACTTCACCTTCTGTTTCTATGGGTTTGACTTTTTTTAGATTCCACATTGGATTACGACTCATATAAAGTGAGACTTTCTGATCACGGCTCTGCATTTGCCCTAGTTGGATAAAAAGAAGCCACGCCTCCACCATTACCCTCAAGTGAAGGGCTGGGCTCAGGAGACACACAGGCTATTAATGATTCCTGAAGCAGGAGCTGGAACATTGGCCAATGACGTCGGTTTCTCGGGGTGCAGCGTGTCACTCCAGGTCCCGCAGCAGGAGCCAGCCTGGTGAATGCTCCCCAGCCGTGTCTCAACACTTCCCGTAGCATCCATCAAGGCTTTCATGGGAACTTGCGCAAGAAAGATCCCGGGCTAAAGTGTGCAAAGTGCTGACGACAGTTTCTGGCAGGCAGCAGGCGCCGGTTACTGGAGCGGTATTTCGGGTGCTGCTCTCAGGATACCTGCGCCTACCACGCTGGAACCATGAAGTGGTTTTTCCTGGAAACTGTGCACCAATCAAGAGGCCTCCAACGTGATGGGGCTCAGTGGGGTTTGTCACGGTGAGGAAGGCAAAGGTGTCCTTCCCAGGTGCTCTGAATGGAGCAGATCCTTTAGAAGGACCCTCCCTGCCCCCACCCTCCCATAGACTTTATCATATACCTGCGAGCGGCCCCCAGAGGCTCCAGGCAGCCACCCTCCAGCCAGGAAATACCTGGCTCTTACCCATGGGCTTCTGCACTGCTAGTTTTGCAATATAAAAACACTCCATCATGAGCTTTAACTCCAACTGGACTAAAAAACCAGAAGTGGAAGATAAAGCCTCAAATCAATGAGAGACAGTGTGGGAGGGGGGTATCTTTGGCCCTAGCTATGGGAAAAGATTGGTAAGCAAAAAGGTGCAAGCTCACATCGTAAGTCAAAAAAGGCAATAAAGCATTGTTGCACATGGGGACCCCAGGAACAAACGTAAAGACATACATTTGGAGAACGTGTCAGGTTTCAGGGAGTTATGTCTGCCACTAAAACCAAGGAAGGACATACAAGAAACACCTACCAGCCAACAAGAGGAAGAAGGAATTCCAATGAAATAAAGGGTGAAGAGTGTAAACAGGTGATTTACAGAAGAGGCAACCCCACACTCAAGAGCACGAGGCAACTCTTATTAGGAGTGAGAGAAATGTGAAGCGAGCCATGCGATCCTCTTCGACCTGTTAGGAAAGTTAAGAAGCACTAGCAGGTTTCTAGGGCGCAGCGTTGGTGGGTGCGTGGTTGGCAGAGGGACCCTCAGGCCTTGCTGGTGGGGTGCAGACTGGGGCAGTGCTCAGAACAAAGTCACGTGCTTCATCTAAGTCAGCGCGAGCACCTGGGACAGAGCGCCCAGCACGGCGCCGCTGGGTACGGCCCGAATGCACTCGCCTCAGGACCGCAGGGGCACGGGGATGAGCACGTGTGCTGCACTGTCGAGGGCGGGCCCAGGAAGCCGGACGCACGGGGCTTCCCACACGGGGGACAGTGGTGGGCGAGGTGTCCGGGAGCCCTTCGTGGAGCACCAGCCACGGTCCCTCCTTCCTTTCCAGCGTGGATCCCCGTCTTCCTCCACTGGCCCGCCTTCTAGACTGCTAAGCAATTAACCCCACGTACCTTGCCATTGACCTTTGAGAGTTTTCCTTTTTCACTTAGTTGTGCTATTTCCTGATAATCCATGGGAAGGTCCCCTTATCTTCCTTGCTCCCTCCCAGTCTCTGTTGTTCATACGCCGAGAACTCGCTGCCCGTAGGCGCTGTGCCAGGGGCTGGGAATACAAGAGTGGGCTAAACAAACAGGCCAGCTGACCTCCCAGAAATGCCTGTGAAACTCATCATCTACATATCTTTATACGTTGTACACACCATCGGTTCTCAAATTTTTTGGTTTTGGGGATGCCTATACACTCTTAAAA